TTCTGCTTTGATGTTCTGCCTCACCTCGGGCCCAGAGCAATGGTATCAGCCATCTATGGACTGAGACCTCTGAAACTGTGAGTACCAAATAAACTATTCCTCCTTTAAAATGGATCTTATCAGGTCTTCTGGAGACAGTGGCAGAAGAGCTAACTAGAACATTTTCAACACCTCTCTCTCCTTTTCTCTTTCTCTCTCTCTCTGACAGTCTTTCCTCTCAGTTATAATCCTCACTCAGATAATCCAGGGTCTTTATTCCAAAGTCGTTAATCACATCTTTAAAGTCCCTTTTGCCATGCAGGGTAATATATTCACATGGTCACTGATTAGGACATGGGCAGCTCCAGGGTGGGAGTGAGGAACATATTCTTCCTACCAGAGAAACCCACTGAACAAATGAGCTCCTTGAAGATGGGATTTATATCTTCCTCACCTCTGCATCACCACAACCTGGCACAGTCAAATGTGCCTAGAAGACATTCAGCAAATGTTCAAAAATTGCTACAGTCAAAAAATATTTATCTGCTACCTACTGTGTGACAGATGTTATTCTAGGTGATGGGACATGTGGAAATGAGCAGAATTAACTTATTTTCATTGCATCCTAGTGTAGAGAAGCAAAGAGCACACACACAATATACAATAATGACAGTAAGGGTTATGAGGAAAAGTAAACCATAGTAAAGAGCACAGGAAGTGTCAGCTTATTATGGAAGAAGTCTTCTCAGGCAAGCTGCCATTTGATTAAAGATAAAGGACTGTGAATCAAGGTTTACCAACAAAGAGCAGAAGAACATTTCAGAAAGAAGAAATGAGAAGTGCAAACATTCTGAGGTTGGAATAAACATTTTGAGGAGGCTTTTTGTTTGTATTACTGGGGATTTTGCCCAGGGGCACTTGACCACTGAGTTATATCCCTAGGCTTTTTTATTTATTTACTGATTTTTTTTTTTTTTTGAGACTGGTCTTACTAAGTTTCCCAGGCTGCCCTCAGATTTGTGATCCTACTGCCTCAGCAACCTGAAATTACAAGCATGAACTGCCATACTGGACAGGATTTTGAGATTTTTAAGAAATAACAGGGATGCAAATGAGGCTTCACAAAAAAGAGAGAGGGATGATACCAGATGAGACCAGATAGGCACAAGGATGACAGAGGGCCCAGGATTTCGTAGTCCACAGTAAAAAAATTGGATTAGACTCCAAGAGAGATGGAAATCCATTACAGGCTTGAGATAGAGGCTGGCAAAATATTAGTTTTATCTTGTAAAATCACTCTGTTGTGTTAAGCACTGACAGTGACAAGATCAGGATGAAAGCAAAGAAACAAGATTGCAGTAGTCCCAGGGAGATGTGTTAGAGTGACAGTAGAGGTTGTGGTGAGAATTTGTTGTAATCCCAATCTATATCTGAAGTGGAGAGAATAGTGTTGGATATTGTTTGAAGGAAAGAGAATAAGAGCGACTTTAAGGATTTGGGTTGTGTTATGGTTTTGGTATGTGATGTCCCTCAAAGGCTCACGTGTGAGACAATGCAAGAACATTCAGAGGTAAATTGATTAGATTATTAAAATTGCAACCCAATAAGTGGATTAATCCACTGATATGGCTTAACGAGCTGGGTAACTGTAGATAGGTAAGGTGTGGCTGCAGGAAGAAGGTCACTGGGGGTGTGCCTTTGGGGTTTATATTTTGTTCTTGGTGAGTGGAGCACTATCTCTCTCTCTCTCTCTCTCTCTCTCTCTCTCTCTCTCCTTCCTGATTGCCATGTCCTGAGCTGATGCTGCTTCTTTTTTTTTTTTTTAACCATGCAATTCCACCATGATGTTCTGCCTCATCTTGGGCCCAGAGCTATGGAGTCAGCTGAGCACAGACTGAGTCTCTGAAACCATGAGCTAAAATAAACTTTTTCTTCTCTATGTTTTTCTTGTCTGGTATTTTGGTCACAGCAATGAAAGCTGAATAAAACAGGCTGAGAATTTGATGAAGATAGTCATCACTTAACAAAACTGGAGTGAGGTGCTTATCAGATATCAAGTAGAGATGCTCTGAAGAAAGGTAGACATGGGAGACTGAAGTTAAGAAGGGAGACTGGACACAAGATAAACATTCAGAAATCTCAGCATATAGACATCATTTAGAACTCTGTAATTAGGTGAATTCCTTGGTTTTGGGGAAACAGTTTTGGAAGAGTATTTAGCTCTGGAACACTCTTGCTTTACGGAGGTCAGGAAAATGAAGAAGAGAAACAGAAAAGGAATCTGTGAGCAAGCAGGCAGTGGGCAATGAGGGAATCCAAGAGGAAATGATGTCACTGGAAGCCAAGTGAAGACATTCTTCCAAAAAGACACCATCCAATGTGCCAAACTGCTGCTGAGATGTTAGTAAGATGAGGATCTTGAAATAACCATTTGTTTTGGCATCATGGAGGTGGTTTGATTGTGTTTTGATGTGTTGGGGAAGCAAATGCCTAAAATTCTTCATGGTGACCCAAGTGCCTTTATCATGTATCCAACAGCCCTTGCTGACTCTTCATTGCATTTCTAAACTTGACTAATGCTTAAAAATTTGTACTTTGTAATTTGAGTCTGACTGGTAGGATAAACAGGAGGATTTCCTTGAAGTGAAGGCTTCTAAGGTGGTTGGTGATCTAGAGCTCCTTAATTTGCAAAATGCCAAAGAGAAATGTATTAGCTTTAAGTTGTCTGAATTCCTTACATTCAATTATTTTCTTTGCAATAGGAGACTAACAAGTCCATAAAATAGATTAATGTAACTCAGGCACATTCCATTTTCTCTGGAAAGACATAACTCATTGCAGGCAGAAGAGTTTGCACGACACCTTTGCTTTAACTTTTTATCTTGTTTCCTGATAGGGCTGACAGAGATGAAACATGAAGTGCTTCAGGTACAAGATTAGTTGTAGGGATTCTTGAGTTTTAAACTTCAGTTTCAATTTTAATTGAGGCACTTCTTTGCATTCATTATCTTCAGACCAATTAATATGTTAGTAATTAATCTTGTTTATTACCATATTCTCCTCCTCTTAGTGAAATCAACAATGAAAACATTATTGGTATATACAATCAATATTTGCTATCTCTTGCAAAACAAGTTGGAATAAATATAAATCATATAAACTTTAAAATTTTTACTATTAATGGAGCCAAAAATTATTCTCAGATATTCTGCCAATGTCCATTATAGTTTTCTTAAAATATAATTTCTAACTGAAAACTATTCTATACATTTCTTCTACATAATACTCATAATTTTTTAAAGTTTCTATTCTATACAAGGTCAATTTATAGAAGGTATGGACAAATATCAGGGAAGCTGGTTGGAAAAGAAAAATATATTTTAAAAAATCTTCATACTGAATTCACAGTCTGAATCTATGATCTGAGCAGAAATTGTCTTTTACATACATAGCTTCTTGTAGCCAAATGTTGAGCCTTAAAGAGGTTAGAATTCGCTCTTTTTTCCTCTTGCATTGCTGTCTGCTCACTTTCCTCTTGTGAAGGACTTTTTTTTTTTTGCTGTGCTGTAGACATATGGTTACATATTTCACTACCTTCTGTTTGAAATTCATTGGTCTTGGTTCTGAGGTTGTTTTTTCTGTTGGGTCACAATGTGTGCTCTTGAATTTTAATATGATAAACAATCTGTGCTAAAAACTTCTTGGTTTGATTCCAGATTAAAATCAAACAAATAACCAGCCAACCACCCTTTACTGAGTTGAAAATAAATGTACACAGAGAGAAAGGATTATATTAGAAACCATTGTTGTGTGGCTCCCTCCCTGAGTCATCACTAGGCATAACATTGATTTGGTACACGTGATTTCAAGAAAGAGCTTGGTAGATTCAGTATAGGAAAACATGGATACTACCAGAAAATAGTTTGCTACACTTTTTTATGATGGGTTTAAATTTGCTTTCTCACATTTATTATTTTAAGTCAATAAGCAAAGAGGTTATTGAGTATCAGTGATAGGAATACAACAGAGCCAAATTCAAATTCTATTTTGGACATTTAGTGGAAGATTTAATGCAGTAACTCACATTCTTTGTGCCACAGTTTCCTTAAACTTATAATAGTGACAATCCTGACATTATGGGATTATAGTGATGGGGATTATACCTAAGAATTTAGGGAAAAAACTAATGAAAAATATGTGCACTGATAGCTTTTAATTGTAAATTGAATAATATATGTCTTGGAAACAAATGATAAGTTTCCAGGTGTGCAATGAGTATAGGATAAAAGGAAACTTCTCATTTACAAGTGAGAAAACTTTTTTGATTCATATTGTAAATCGTAACAAAGAACAGCTTGAAATTTTAATTAAATTGTCTCACTAGGAATCATCTAGATAAAAATTTGTAGAGGACTAAAAATATCAAAATTAAAATTTTCACTCACTGCATAAGTTATAATATTTCCAGTATCATTTCAGAAAATTAAAAGACTACTTATCCTTCTCAGGATGAAAAAATATCATAAGTGGACTTCATAAGTGGATAAAGATGCTGATTTCCTATGATATCTGTTACCTGTGTGGCTGTCTATCTATCCATCTGTAGATACACATATATGTTTAGACATCCCAGTAGAATTGCAAAGTGCTTATAAGAAAACGCCAACAAAATCTCAAATTTAAATGTAGGGCATATTTGCCTTTAATCACCATCATACCTGATCTCAGTATTCCTCAAAATTTGAAGTACTAATACATATTGTCAGACAGATATGTCTAATATATGAGTTAAAATGATTGATGACAAAATCCTAATGTGTAGTATCAACAAAAGGGTGAAGTGATCAGGTTGCATACACTTGGGGGCTTTCCAATGATGGCATGTAAAAGTGTGCCATAATTGACACCCTTGATTTTGTTTAGGGAGTTTGTGCAACCTAATCTACAAACAGTAATAGATCTCAGTATCTTTTGGAAGATAAAATCTTGAATCATTTAAGGACACAGCAACAAAATTAACAGTTTTCATACTTTGGTTTATTGTAAAATTTAGCAAAGTTTTCCTTGTAATCCCTGACCCCTTGCTCTGAAAACAAAAGCAAAAACATAATTATTGCTTATTCTTTTCCCCCTACTTTGTTTGTGCTACTCTAAAAGAAGGGAGGAAAATCATTTTAATAAATAAAAATAGAGATGTAACAGAGAAAAATAAATCAGTCTAGATGAGAAATATTAGGAGCAACAGAAATGTCATTAAGCAGTTTAAAAATAAGCTTCTTTTAAAAGGTTGTCTTATTTTACAAAATCACACCAAAAATATAGCAGCGGAGAAGAAGGATACATACAAGTTAATTTCACACCAGTCCCATGCAAAAAACTGGGTCATTAGCCAAAGCAGTAGTAGTCAGAATCCAATTTAGGAGGCTTGTGCAGGGCTTGTGAGTCCTCTATGACGGAGCCGTCACTGAACTGGTCAAAGTCTGAAGGGGTCTGATGGCCTGGGACATCATCAGCCAAAGTGTCCAGGTAGCTTCCCACAGAGATGCCATCTAGCCCATCACTGCCATCCTGCAGGCTATTGTAGCTGCCACGTAAGGAGGTGCTCTGGCTCTCCAGCAGGCTGCACAGACTGCCACTGAGACTGCTGCCTCGGCTAGTGATGGTGGCTTTCTCCTCCATCATCCACTTGATGGATTCGATGCTCTCATTGATGAGGAGCAACTGGCACATAAGTCTGACATCTGTGGCTCTGAGGTTAACCTATGTGGAAGAGGGAGACAGGAAAGACATGCCAGTTATTCTACATTCTTAACAAACTCCAAATTCATGTGGATACTGTCTGTTACAGTCTACGATTTTAAATCCACAGAATAAAATACAAGTATACTTGATCTCAGGATCTCTTTGGAAATTGCTGACCATCCGCAGGAGTCATAATCAAAGAACTCGCTTTCTGCCAGATGCATCAGAAAAAGGGTCCATAAAATTCCCTCTGTATCCCTGACTCTAACCAAGCTACCAGAAAATAGTGTATTGAATGTCAAAGTCTCTGCTGAGAGAGAGATTCTCTCTTGTCAAGTTAATAGTTTATCCAAGTTTACATGGGAATGTATATCCACACTACGGGGTAGGGAAAAGGAGAAGGTATAGAAATTAATACATCTCATCAGCATCATGGGACTTCTACTTATTGAGTTATACTGTGCTAGGCATCATTATAAAAAAATTCAACGTTAATTAGCAAAAGCTAATAACACTGTACAACAGCCTTACTATTTTTATTCTTATTTTACAGATGAAGAAATTGAAGTCTACAAAAAAGGGTTAAGAGTACAGGAAAGGCTACACTCCTCATGACTACATTGGCACAAGCAATATGGACTATTACTTTTACTATTAACAAGAACCAAACTGACCTAGTATTCCCTGAATTGAAAAGGGTGCTGCTGCACAGGATGACACAACTTACAAGATGAAGGCTACAAATATTTTTGGAGATCTAAGTATTTGTTTTAGATATGTCAGGGACACTCTAATCAAAATAGGGATATAAAAATGTCCTGGGACTCCCCTAAGAGCCATCTAAGTGTGTAGTCATTTTGCCAATTCTAAGATATTTCAGAGAAATCTGTTTCCACAGCCATAAAGCAGGATGTTTTCGTATGCCCCAGAATTTAATGAGAACCCTTTATAACATCAACTACATAGTAGCTTAGGGAAGAGAACTCTCATGATTGCCCCTGTTCCTGTTGGAACTGGATAGAAGTGGATCCTCTAAAGATCTGTGTGCCTGGTCTTGGTTGGCCACTAGAAGTTCCGCTCATATTCATTATGGTTTAAACATGGATTTTTTTGTTATTTTACTTGTGGTATTAGCCCAAAAGGCTGGGCCAGGCCAATTCTCTCTTTACAATCCAAGACTAACTCAGATTTGTGAGTTTCTAGAATTATCAAAGGCACTCATTCTTGAATGACTCAAGCCAGAAGAGAAAAAGGAGTTCATTGTATTCCAAGATATGTATTCATATAAAAATATTTCCTGGTGAAGAGTTAATCCATAACTGAAGGTGAACTTTGGCTTCTATGAACATGACAAACAAACCTCAGTAGAGATACAATTTACACTCATGTCTTCAATAGATGTAAGGTTACAGGTTTTAGAGACACAAAAGTGCAAGTAGAAATTCAAGATGAAAAAAGTACACATTAAGAAAAAAATAAATTTGCTGGGATATGAAATTGACTAATGAATTCTTCATCTTCTCTGAGAAAAGCATCAAGAATAAATTGACTAGATAGAATACAGGGAAATTTATTTCTCTCTGAAATGTTCATGAAGTGAAGGATGTGAACTTAGTAAATCTTGATGTTCCTCTGTTTTTGATGGTGTCTCAATGACCTTGCAATGACTTTATGTTGGATAAGGAGGTTTTGGCAGTCTTTATGCTCAAATTCACTCACATACTCCATGAGTCATTGTGACATCATTCAAGTTAGAAATATTACAAATATTTACAAATGACCAACAGTGTGCCTGGGTACATTGAGAAGTGCAGAAAGATCAATATCAGTTAAACTCTTACAAAATCCTTCAGCAGACATCTGTACTTGATGCACCTTGCTGTGCCCATCATAGGCATGGTGCAATATCAATCTGACCATTTCCAAATAGCTCCCCAAATGGACCACAGCTGCATATACTCACATCTCCACCCTGTTCATGGAAGTGTTTCAGCCCAAGTTCTGCTTTGGGCATGTGCCCTGATCTTCCCCTCCCTTAAAGTACTTCACTTTCACTCTTTCAAATTCTTCACATTCTAGTTCTATTTCTTCTGTCAAGCACTCCTTACTGACTCTAGCCTGTCCTGCTGGCCCATTTTATCTCTATAGTCTGTTTGGTTTATAACTTAAAATGAGCTTTATTTTATACAATCTTATAGTGATAATAATTACTGTTCCTTTTAGACTTTCCCCAAAGAAAGAAGACATGTCTTACCTGAAACTCTGTATTATTATTATTATTAGTAGTAGTAGTAGTAGTAGTAGTAGTAGTAGTACTGGAGATTGAACTCAGGGGTACTTTAGTACTGAACTACATCCCCGGCCCTTTTTATATTTTTCATTTTGAGACACCATCTCGCTAAGTTGCTAAGGATCTTGTTAAGTTGCTGAGGATGGCCTCAAACTTGTGATCCTTTTCCTTAGTTCTAGAGTCACTGGGTTACAGGTGTGAGTCACCATGCCCAGCCTGAAACTATATCTTAAGGTCTCTTCTAAGCACTGATTGATTTTTGAGAAATAGTCAAAATTTTAGCATCTGTGAAAGTTCATCTCTTAACATAGTCACAAATATATGTTCCCAGAAACCATGTCACTGTTGGGGTTAATATGTACTTAGAATAAATTTTCTGTCAGCATTTTTTGTTTTATTTACACAGTGGCTACATCAAATACTTTTTAAAACTTTTATCGAGCAATACGAATAAAAGGGCAGTAAGGCTATGAAGCAACAAAAGCTTCCTTTGACCATGAAATGATCTATTTAAAAAAGAAAACCTTTTGCTTCTGAAGGCAAAACATTCACAGGCCGTTGAACTATTGTTGGGGAAAAATATGATGAAAGTAGGTCGGTTAGAAGGAGTTGATCTGGCTGATAATGATTATGGATTTAACTGTGTCTAACCCTGTGTCCTCTGAGAAGAGTAAACAGCTTCCCTGTATGGGAGCGCTGGGTGTGCTGGTTCACACGCCTGGCTGCTGGTCTGGTACTGGAGCTCCAGGCTCAGAGTGCCCTGGCTCGCACTCTGCATTCTCCAAGAACTAAGGTGTGGTTATGCTACTGATGAAAGCATGAGCAATCCACCAAAGAACTAAATCACAATGTTGCTTCTGTCTCCAGTAGCTGCCCCACCTTTCCTCAGTGTTACTCATTTCAGTCTCTAGGAAGTCTGGCCATCAATTAAGAACAGAGTAGCCTTGCCTTGGCAGCACAAATCCTGGTGGTTCTTTCAGCTGGGGTCTCATGACTTCACTCGGAGAATATTGAGAGTTGGAACCCTCTTCAGGATCTGAGCTTAAATGCTACCTCCTTGGAGAACCTGTTCTCCTGATCAATCATGGTATCCAGTCCTCATGCCTATTTTTAGATTTCTGTAGGTCTTTTGTTTCCTTCATAATGTTTATGACTAATTAAAATCATCCTGCTTTTCATGTGGTTTTTTTTTTCTCTGCCCACCCCCACAAACATGGAGGAATTGTGGAATACTTGGTCTATCCTACTTGTAACTCTGAGCCAAGACTGAAAGAGTGCCTGACACATAGTAGGTACTCTATCAGGATCTGTCCAGCCACTAAACAACCAGCTTTGATCCAGATTGGAACAACTGATAGGAACCTGGAGTTTTGCTGTGGGTCAGTGATATGTGACTTAAGAGGAAGAAAAGTGGTAATTCAGAAAGAACATTTCAATATGGAAGTGTTCCCAGTATATGGTCTTATTTCTATTCATTTCAAATTTTAGGCATTGAGTAATTGCAGTAAGATTCTTCCCTGCTAAAATTTACAGAATACAAGATAATTTTTCTAAAAGGAAGTGGACTACAAGGTGTGAGTCACACTCCAAACATTATTCTGTTTGCTTAGAGGTGATAACTGAGCACAGCGCAGGTGTTCTGTAAACATCTGGTGAAATGAATGTAACAAAGGGAACATGCAAACAGAGCACGTACTCCCCCCACAAAAAGTATTTGGATTCCCCTCCCCATCTCTAGTCCTTACAGTTTCTGCAGAGTGGTTCATCTTTATCCTAAGTTTCTGATGCTTTAAGATTGTGGGATAATAGCTGTTTGTATTTTAGGGAGAATGCTAAAATTTCATGTAATTTTTGGATAAGTGGTGAACTTAGTCTATGGTAGAATTTGAAATAAAAGATCTTGAAAAATCAAATATTCCTATTAGTAAACTTTTCTAGATCTGTTTTCTTTCAAATTACCATTTTTAATACTGACAGAATGCAAAGGTTATGAATTGGCATAATGAAATCCAAGAAAGAATGTGGTCAAACTTTCAACTAATCAAGGAGCTGCTATTAAGTTCACTTCTTTTGTGGTATTGTATGAGAAATGTGGCACAAGACTCCAGTTCACCTCTGATGTGATCTACCTGTGACCTTTGGGCAAAGTGGCTCAGGGTAGAGAAGTTCAGTTTCCTAACACATGAGGAAAAATCATGGTTTTATTCTGAGCTCCAATGAGCCACAGGGTTCAATAAAAGGTGGATGGTAAGGCAGTTCTATGAGCAAAGACAAATTTTTCCCAGTTAAGACTGAATTCAACTCAGGAGTTCTCTTATATTACTGTCTGCATTTCATACTGAGGTTGCATTTCAGCTGTTATTTGATAAAGAGGTTGTGCAGATGAGATAATCCCAGGATTTCCACCCATTCTGACATTTGATTCTTGTTTTTTCCTGGGGCTGTTTAATTACTAAATTGTTTCAGCTACAAAAGTTATGTAGACTATAGAAGAGACAGAAAAATCAATTTTTGCTGGTCAATAGATTCAACAAAAGATGCTGCTGATAAAAACTCTGCTGATAAAACACCAGAAGTTTGAGCTCTTTTTTGCATTTTATTGACCTTATCAGAAATATGTGGTAATTTTAATAATAGTATGTGCTCTTACCATTTAGGCTTCAGTAAAAGTCATGTTTGTGTTCCAAGACAAACATGCATGTCATGTTTAATATGTCCATAAA